AACGACAACGCCCCTGAGTTTGTGTCTCCGAAGCCGAACCCTGGCTCGCCGACCACAGCAACCGTCTCGGTGCGCTACGCGGAGAAGACGGGTGCAGTACTGTGTCACATCGTAGCGGTTGACCGAGACGCGGGCGAAAACGGCAGGGTGACGTACGTCATTTCCGCCGGCAACGAGGACGGCAGGCTAGCCTTGGGCTACGACACAGGGCTGCTCAGCCTGGCCAGGCCCCTGTCGCGGCCACTCGGCCCCGGCGAGACGGCCAGTTTGGTCGTCAACGTGACGGCCTCGGACCACGGCAAGCCCCTCGCTCGGCACGCAGCCCTGCACCTCACAGTGGTGTTGCGGGGCGCGGCCGACGCGCCACCCCGCTTCCTCAGGCCCACCTACACGGCCACCGTGTCGGAGGACGTCCACCAGGGCAGCTTTGTGGCGCGGGTGGCTGCCAAGCCCGCCGGCACCGCAAGCAGCGACGGTAAGTTTGAGTGTATTCCACGATGTTGTTACAATCCTCTGTGTTCTCTGGGTCTGACTCTTGCATTCGATTTGCAGCATCGACCGGAGGCAACCTGACGTACCACATCCCGGCCGGCGCGGCGGACGACCGCTTCACCGTGGACGCGGTGAGGGGCGTGGTGACGACGCGCGCGCCGCTGGACCGAGAGCTCCGTGCGTCGTACGTCGTCCCCGTCCTGGCTATGGATTCGGCGGCCCCCGACCTCCACGACGAGACCCTGTTGGAGGTGACGGTCACGGACGTCAACGACCACGCCCCTGCCTTCCCCTTCGGCAGCTGCTACCCCGTGCACGTCCCGGAGAACGCCGAGGAGGGCGTGGTGCACTCGCTCGCCGCCGAGGACCCGGACCTGGGCGCCAACGGCGAGGTCACCTACACCATCACCGGTGAGTAGACCGGCCCGGTCAGCGCAGCGTCGACTCGGCCCGCCACACCACGCCCCACCATACCCGCCGACAGTTCGGTGTTCGGACGTTGGTTGGAATGCATCCAGCGTCTTGTTACCCCTCCGCCCCGCCTCCCCCCGCCCCGTCTTGCTCAGCGCGGCTCGGCACGGCGCGGCGCGCTGGTGCAGGGCTCTGCCTGGGCTCTGCCTGGGCTCCGCAGGCTCAGCCAGCAGCAGGCTGGCAGGGCTCGGCGCGGCTCGGCTCGGCCTGCCGCGAGGTGGCGGGGCGCGAACGCATGCTCGGCCAGCAGCACCACCGGTCTGCTGCCCCGCCCGCCCGTCCCACCTCACCCCGCTGAACTGGACTCCACTGCATTCGCCTCGTATTTGCAGCGATACGCCACGCGGTTCCCTTGTTGTGGACCGCGGGGTATCGACGTCTCCTCCCCTTGTTGTTCCCTCTCCTCTTGTCCGCTATTTTGGCAGGCCTTAACTCCTTCGCCAAATTATCTCACTCACCTAGAAAGGCGTCCTAAACACGTTGCGGCGATGGGTCGTTTTACCTCCCTTTCAAAGACTCTACCGCCGCTCCCCCGACCAGCTGCATTGCTGCGTTCCACCAACTCGCCCAGTCCTCAGTCTTACTCCAGGTTCTTCTTTTGCTTGCAGCGGGTAACGTGGGCAACAAGCTGCGACTGGATCCGGACACTGGCGAGCTGACGGCGAAGCCCCTGGACCGCGAGAGCGTGGCGCACTACTGGCTGGTGGTGACGGCGCGCGACCGCGGCACCCCCGTCGCCCTCCAGGGCTCCTGCAACGTGTCCGTCGTCGTCCTGGACCAGAACGACAACGACCCCCAGTTTGCGCAGTCCCGCTACGCTGCCCAGGTCGCCGAGAACGTGCCCGTCGGCCACGCCGTGCTCACGGTGCGCGCCACGGACGCGGACGCCGACGAAAACGCAAGGATCACCTACACCCTGGCAAACGAGACGCACTGGCTGTTTGCCATCGACAATGAGACGGGTGTCATCTCCACGGCTGGGTAAGTACACGCGGCAGCCCGCTGCACACATCAGTATCAGTTGTCCATTGTCCATCACTCAAACGCCTGACGAGCCGAGGTAGGCAGACCCGCGCCACACGCATGTCGCGCTCGGTGGCCTATGCTTAGGTTGACAGGCGCCTGTTGGGCTGAGGTAGGCAGACCCGCGCGACACGCATGTCGCGTTTGGTGGCCTATGCCGAGGTTGACAGGCGCCTGCCGGGCTGAGGTAGGCAGACCCGCGCGACACGCATGTCGCGCTCGGTGGCCTATGCTCAGGTTGACAGGCGGTCTCCTGGCGGCGGGGGCTCTGTTCGCCGCCCAGACCCTTACATCCCCGCGCGATAGCGATAGACAGGGGGAATGCGTGCCTCACGGTGTGTTGTATCCGTTGCCCGAAAAGTTTCTCTGCATCTCCATGCTCGTATAATCGTCGTTTCTTTGGGATGGACGTCGCGATACTGGGCGGGATGCGAGCCGAGGCTGCGAGGCAACAGGGGGATGTGTGCCAAGAGAGGCTGATCAGCGAGCGCAGTGTCCGCCCGGCTAGTCCCACAACGCACCGCGCCACGCCGCGCCACAGCACTCCGACTCCCGCGGAAGAAATTTAATAGCTTTCTCGCGAGTCATTTGTTTTGTTTGGCCGTGGACGCGCTGCGCTGTGCGCTGTTCGATGCTCGTTGTTTTGCCGAGTGGAAGAGGTGGCGGTGGCGTGGCTGGCTGGCTGGGACGTCGGGCCGACCCGGCCGGCGTGCCAATGGGGCACCGGATCACTCGCGGGAGATAAAGCTAAATGAATGAATCGAAATAGCTCCGCCGGCGTTCGACTTGGTCCGTATTGGGGGGTCGGGGTCGGCGCGTCTCTTGCCGCATTGTGTTACTTTTGTCCCCGCTGACCCCCTGGAAGACGACACGACGCGAGCCCAGGGCTCGGCGTGGTGGGGCCGATAGCGGAGGCTCATTTTACAGCCGAGAGGGGCGTCGCGCCGCGCCCCGCCGCGTTGTACTCGTCGCTTTGTTCGCCTTATCGCGATTTGGGGGAAGAAGAGTAACACCCTGGCCAGCCCGCCCCTCGGATGGTCCCAGGATCGTCCCTCGCCCAGATGTCCGCAATGCAGCCTCCCAGACGACACAATTTTCTGTTGCAGGCCGCTTGACCGCGAGCGTCAGTCGGAGTACAGCTTCCTGGTGGTGGCGACGGACGGTGGTCGTTACTCGGCGCGTTCACAGAGCGTCCCGGTGCACGTCACCGTGACGGACGTCAACGACGAAGTTCCCGCCTTCACCAAGTTCCCTTTCACGGCGACCGTGCCCGCCTCCGCGCAGCCAGGCCAGAGCGTGCTCCGGGTGGCTGCCACGGACCAGGACCTGGGTGTCAACGCTGAGGTGCTGTTCAGCCTCGGCGAGTCCCAGGATGCGGGCAACCGTTTCCGCCTCGACCCTAGCTCTGGCGTGCTGACGGTGGCCGCGGGCCTGGCCGCCGACGCGGGCCGACTGTTCCGCCTGCCGGTTCTGGTGCGGGACAAGGGTAATCCCCCGCTCAGCTCCACTGGACTGGTGGAGGTCAAGGTGGCGGGTGGCAATGGCGGCGTCGACGAGGAGGCTGCCACTCTCCGCTTCCAGAACGCTTCTTACTCCGTGCGCCTGGAGGAGCACGCCGTGGCTGGCACCGAGGTCACCCAGGTAAGTCCGGACGCTGAGGTCGCGTCATTCCGTCAGTCTCTTATGCCGTCCTTCCTCGGTACTTAAACCCACCTCCTCTTCCCGTTCAGGTGCAGGCGGTGCGCTCGGACGGACGACTACAGAGGATCTCCTACCGACTGCTCGGCGTCGTTGGCCCGGCCGGCGCGGAGGACGCGTTCGACATCCACCCCTCCACCGGGGTGGTGCGGGTACGCGACCCCGCTCGCATCGACTTTGAGCGCACGCCTTCAATGCGGCTCGTGGTGCAGGCCGAGGGTCACGGCGCCGGCCCTGCCGGGCTCGTGGGCTTCTGCGAGCTCGACGTCAAGCTGGTGGACGTCAACGACCACGAGCCACGCTTCACGCAGCGCGTTTACTCTGCCGCGGTGCGGGAGGGTCGCTCCAAGGGCACGCCCGTGCTGCGCGTCACGGCCGTCGACGAGGATCAGCCTCAGGGTGGTGACGGCATCCTGTACCACATCGTTGACGGCAACCACGACAACGCCTTCGTCATTTCTCCCGCCACTTCCGGCATCGTCAAGACCAACATCGTGCTGGACAGGGAGATTCGGGACTCGTATCGGCTGACGGTGATCGCGACGGACCAGGGCCAGGGGCAGGGCCGTCAGCTCACGGGGACGGCCACGATCCGCATCAGCGTGGTGGACGTCAACGACAACCGGCCCAGCTTCCCGCCGCACTCTGTGGTGTCGGTGAGTGAGGACCGCGCCTTGGGCACGCCCATCACCGTCGTCACCGCAAACGACGTGGACACGCATCCCGCCCTGACGTACAGCTTTGGCGGGTCGATGTCGGCGTCGGCGTCCGAGGGTGACGTCCCGGATGTGATCGGCCAGACGGATGGTCCGTTTGCCATCGATCGGTTCAGCGGCGTGGTGACGCTCACGCGTCGCCTGGACTATGAGGCTCGACGCGAGCACCAGCTTCGCGTCGTGGCCTCGGACTCTGCTTACACGGCCGTCACGCAGCTCACCGTCAAGGTGGAGGACAACAACGACAACGCGCCCGTCTTCGCGCGCGCCGAGTACGAGGCGAGCTTGACCGGTACGTACCAGAACCAGAACGTGCCCCTATCTTCCTCGCTGGTGCCGCTCGCTGACGCCATCACATTTTTTGTTGTTCCAGGAGGTGGCGAAGCGGGCCACGCGCTGCTCACGGTGAGCGCGTCGGACGCGGACTCTGGCCGCAACGGCGAAGTACGCTACTCTCTGCGGCGCCGCGACTCCTCCGCTTCCGGCTTCTACGTGGACGAGCTGACGGGCACGCTGTACGCCAACCGCACCGAGGAGGGCGTCGAGGCGCCGGCGGGCGAGGTGGAGCTGGTCGTGGTGGCCACTGACAGGGGAGAGCCGCCGCTCTCGTCCACCACCTCGGTTCGCGTCCGCGTCGGTGACGCCAGCGGGGTCGCGCCCAAGTTCACGCAAGACGAGTACCGGTAAGTCAAAGAAGCTGGAAGATACAATCATGCCTCGAATCATGCTGACTTGGAAAAGTGTTTTCAGTGGCCAAAGTTGGTGGCTATATTTTGAGTTGTCCCCGTTCCTGTTGCAGGGTGCATATCCGTGAGGACGCGCCGCTTGGATCTACAGTCGTCAAGATCGGCGTGTTCAGCGCCTTCGCTGTGGACTCGGGCCGCGACGTAGAGTACACCATCGTGGACGGCAACCTGGCTGACACCTTCCGTGTGCTCAGGTAATGACCACGGTTGTGGCTTTTGAAACCAACATGCAATTCTTCATCTGTCTTTTTGGAAGCTAACTGACGTTTTCCTCCCTCTGCAGCCCTAGTGGTGATGTCGTTCTGGCCCGCCCGCTCGACCGCGAGTCCGTGGACCTTTACAGCCTGCGTCTTGCGGCGGGAGGACGGCCTTCTTCGGGAAACGTGTCATCTGCCTCCTCCTCCTCCATCCTTGTCCACGTGACGGTGGACGACGCCAACGACCACGCGCCGGCATTCTCGTCGGCGGCGTACGAAGCGGCCGTGTCGGAAGGCGCGGCCGTGGGCTCGGCTGTGCTCACGGTGAGCGCTGTAGACGCGGACCAGGCCGGCGGGCCCAACGCGGACGTGACCTACGACATCCTCTCTGGCAACGACGCGGACCTGTTCGCCATGGACGCGACGACGGGCATGTTGACCGTGAAGCATGCGCTCGACTTCGACGCCGGACCGACGCGGTTCGCCCTCGTGGTGCGCGCCGCGGACGCCGCCCGCTTCCCGCCCGACGCGCCTCTCGCGTCACTGGCCACGGTCACGGTCACACTCCGCGATGAGAACGACAACGCTCCACAGTTCCCCGTCAGCGAGTACCTGGAGCTCGTACCGGAGAACGAGCCTGCTGGCACAGCCGTGTTCACAGCCCGCGCCGTCGACCTGGACCGGGGCCCTTACGGTGCCCTCAACTACACCATCGCTTCCTCGTCGGGTTACACCGACTCAGACGACTCCTGGAAGTTGTTCCGAGTGGACGCCGCGTCCGGCCTGGTCACCACCACCGCCGCCTTCGACTACGAGGCGCGCAACCGCTACGCTTTCACGCTGCGCGCCACAGACGCCGGCGGGCGCATGGCGCGGGTCAGGGTGCGCGTCGAGGTGGAGAGCCGTGACGAGTTCCACCCTCAGTTCACGGAGCGCACCTACCGCCTTGCGCTGCCCGCCTCGCGTGGACCGCTGCCCGCAGGCCACGTCCTGGGCCGCGTGACGGCCACGGACCGCGACAAAGGTCTGGATGGCCGCGTCGTGTACCAGCTCAATGCGCAACACCCGCACCTCAAAGTGAACCGCACCACGGGCGCCATCGTCGTCAAGAAGAAGCTGGACGTCGCCGAGCTGTACTCGGGGCAGGACGTGAGCCTGGTGGTGACTGCCAGCTCTGGCCGACCCGGATCCCTCACCAACATGACAGTAGTGGAGATCAGCGTTGACCCCTCGCATGGCCTCGGACACATGGCCACGGAGCACAATTTGGCCAGCAGCGCCTTGGACGCCCAGAGCGCGGGAGGGCTGGCGGACTGGGCGTTGGGCTTGCTGATTGCTCTTATCCTGGTGGTGCTCGCCTTCGGGGCCGTCTTTGTTTTCCTACACGTTCGCAACCGGCGCCACAAGAAGGTGAACAAGCCTGCGCTCGGTCCGGGTATGGGACCCGGATTAGGCTCCGGGCTCGGTTCCATGGGTGGTGTCGCAGGCTGTGGTGCCTCGACGGTGGCCTCGGACACGTACGTGGACCCCAGCGCCTTCGACACGATCCCCCTGCCTCGGCCACCATGTCACACCTCTGCCAGCCTGACGGGGCCGTTCGCGCCACCCAAGTACGACGAGATCCCACCGTACCGCTCCAGCAAGGCCGCCAAGGCTGCGGCCGCTGCCAAGGGCGGGTCCCCGTCGTCCCCCGGGGGACCGACGTCGGAGCTGTCAGGCTCTGAACAGTCAGGCTCCAGCGGCAGAGGCTCGGCCGAGGACGGCGAGGAAGAGGACGAGGAGATCAGGATGATCAACGAGCAGCGCGTCGGGCAGCGCATCCGGGAGGAGGACACCATCTCGGACGTGTCCGTCCACAACACACAGCAGTACCTGGCCCGCCTGGGCATTGTTGACACCAGCACGGTGGGCCATTTGCCCTCGGCGCTGGCGTCCGCGCACGCCTCTGCGCACGCGTCGACGCACGCCAGCACGAGGACGTCGTGCTCCGAGCCGCTCGAGGCGCTGGACGAGACGGACGTGGCGCTGTCCGCGGGGGAGGCGGACATCACTAACTTGATATACGCCAAGCTCAACGACGTGGGCAGTGAGATGAGCGAGCGAGGCAGCGAGCGGGGCAGCAGCAGCGTCAAGAGCGTGGCGGTGGGGCCGCACGCGCACGTGGGCACGCACCAGCCCTCCATGACGGGCTCGCTCAGCTCCATCGTGCACAGCGAGGAGGAGCTGACGGGCAGCTACAACTGGGACTACCTGCTGGACTGGGGCCCCCAGTACCAGCCCCTGGCCCACGTCTTTTCCGAGATCGCCCGGCTCAAGGACGACACGGACACGGCGTCGGTGCAGAGCGGGCCCGCGCACTCGAGCGCCTCGCACACGTCGCACGCCTCGCACGCGTCACACGCGTCACACGCGTCACACGCGTCACATGCATCGCACGCGTCGCACGCGTCGCACGCGCCCCACTCGAGCCCTGCTGGTCAGGCGCAGGGTGTGGCGCCGCGCGCGCCCCAGGGCGTCAAGAACATGCAGCTGCCGCTGCCGCCCCTGCCGCCGCCGCTGCTGACGAGCGTGGCGCCCAGGACACTCCCGCCCATCGCCCCCATGCCGCCTATGCCCCCCATGGCCGCGGCCCGGGGCCCGCCCTCCATGGCGCAGCTCCTCCTCATGCCCAGGTCCCCCATCAGCCACGACTCCGGCCTGGGCGTCGGCATGGGTGGCGTGGGCGGCGTGGGCTTCAGCACCTCCAGTGCCATGTCGCCGTCCTTCTCCCCCTCCCTGTCGCCCTTGGCCACAAGGTCGCCCTCTCTAAGTCCACTGTCGCCCCCCTCGCATCATGTAGTGTCGTTACCACGGACTGTGACTGATACGGAACTTAGAATTTAGTGAAATATTTGAATGAGTGACGTCGTTTAAAAGAGAACTTTGTGTGCATGTGGCAGTATGAGTGTGTCTGTGTGTGTGTGTGTGTGTGCGCGCGAATGTGAGAGAATATGACGCAGGCGGAAGTCTGCTACCTTACCGTTACCTGTGACGTCGCAGTGTGGTGTTTGCTCGTTGAGCATGAGACCAGTATTGAAATGTTGCCATCTAGTTGACTTTTTTAAAAAGAAAATAAATGTAAGTAGTCCTATTTGAAAATGACCAGGAAAGTGCTCTTAACTCAACTTCTCCAACGTTCATAAATAGAAACAAAGTTGTTAGCTGATCGTGCAGCTTGAATTATTTTTTTTACAATTTCTCAATTTTTCTTGCTTTGTTTTGATGTGGTTTAGTATACATTTACACAATTCCAAGAAAACTTGTTGTTCTAACTTTGTTTTGATTTTTAATGCGCACAGGTTAATTAAAAGTGTAAGAAGCAAGTATAATTTCCCTGGTTCAACACAAGCCAAAAAGAGTACATATTGTGAATAGTATTTATTTAAAATGCAAAGTGATGAAGAGTAAGTGTAACTTATAGATAAAATGTCTTATTACTGTGAAAATTGATTCACTATGTGGAAAGATTGTAAATATATACATACATATATAGATATATATATGCTATTGCGGTTACTTCCACCTTATGGGTGAGAAATTGCTTTGGTCTTCCACAAACACGAGTCAATATCGTTAGATTCTTTTTGATCTATCATCGAAGTATCAGATACTGTACTTCAAGCAAAATCAAATACATATTTTTCCCAGTGTCTTCAGAGTGAAGTGACATTTATCTATTAGATTGAAACTTTCTTGCCGATCTTGTCTGTGGGGGACCAAAGCTAGCCCCGTAAGGCATAATTAGCTATTTTCAAATGAAGTGATATTTGTATTGTGTAAGTTAGTACAATGTACATATGTATAGTGTTGAAAGCTTGTTGATATCATTCCTTGTTTCTTAATCTAATTAATCAAACGCTCAGATATTCCACAATAAATTTTTATTACTTCAAAGGGCAACTCTAAAGACTGTGCGCAATACCAGCCGTGTACTGATTACCGCTTACTGGAAGGACTACAGTTTTAGGCTCATGCCCCCTTTCTATTTATTTCATGGTGTTTGTCTAAAACTGTTGTCTTCCAAAGATACGTATATTTTGTGACATAACTGCATCTCATTGTCCCGCAGTTACTTCATTGGTTGAAAAAATGTATTTGGTCATCTTTTGTTGATTAACTAATCAATGTCAATTGAGTGCCATGGCTGAGAAATATGCCTTTACACAAGTATACGATTATAGTATGTGTTATTACTTGCCATGTAGAAAACAATATGTGATTTTAAATTATTCCTTTTTCTTTAATTTTAGTTGGGTTGACGTTAAATCTTCCTACATTTATGTAGGAAAGTGCCAAGCATATGAAACTTATGAAAATCAAAACCTTGTAAAGATTTGCTGTGATGGAGGAGAAATGATCATTGTCATACTCAATTCAAATGCTGTCCAATACATGTACAAAACCACAGGAAATTTAAGGATTTACATTTGATACTGAGAACTTTCTCCCTCAGTTCTTACTATTAGCGCCATATTTAGGATGATTAATTTGGTAATGTACAACCAATTGTAATAATCTGTTTTTAATAAAGCCCCTTGAGATATTTTGTTAATTTCCCGGTTGTCTTATCTGCAAGTAAGTGCCCTTCTATGCACACAATTTCCATGAATCAATGCCTGCATTTTAATTCCTCTGAAATTGCCTGTACAAAAACATTCCTCTTCTGTTATAAGTAAACCCTGTATATAAGAAATAGTGAAAGCAAACCATTGCTGATGTTTTCGTAACTGACAAAGAAAGGAAATCAAGAAATAAATAAATAAGAGAATTCAGATGTATTTATTGCCTGTCTTACCAAAATATTGCAACAGCCCCTATACGGTTTTGGTGAACATGTCGGACGGGAATGTAAAATCCCCCAATATAACTTTAGAGAACGAATGAAAGTGCTTTACATCCGTATTCTGCTAAAGTGACAACCTCTACCACGGTTGTTGTTAAAAAAATTGAGTAGAATGGGTTAACAGTTGTCTTTAAACTGAAGGAAGAAATCATTTAGTAGTCCTTTTTTAAAGATTCTTAAAGTTTGCACCAGAAATACAATGGCATCTGATTTCTAACACCCTATACAATGTACAAAATGCAAGTCCATACTTTTGGATCTATTTAACAGACACTGGGTTGAAGTAGTGACTTGATTGGTACAAGAATAATTGTATACCAACAGAGATTTCATAGAACATATCTCAAGAGAACGTAATGATTTCCATCCTACCATGCACCAATTTATCAAAATTATTTTACACTTTTAGTTTTTACACTTGTTGCTATGTGAATGTCGCTACTTTTTCTCATGCAGTTGCACAATGAAGTAGAGTTGTTCTAGCTTTGAGTAGACAAAAATTACAGCAGTTAGCAGAGGATGATGATGATAATACTGTCATTTACAAACTTTGCATAGAAAAAAATATGGATGAGGTTGATTGGCCAGAAAACAATCCAAAAGAAATCAAAATCCACAATATTTGGTGAGATATAAAAAAGGACTATAGCGATGCTAAGCAAAGCTTTAGTCATGAAGTGTAAATGACATAATAAATAACGATAATCACAACCAGATGTGGATGCATAAAGAATCAAGAACAGAAAAGACTATGCCTTTTCAGCTTCATATGAGAATGAGACAACAATTATTATACATATATAATATATGAATGAATGAGAAAATAAATAAGAAAGACAAGAAATGGGAGATTACCAAAAACATGTGCTATAGCAAAAAGATGGATGACTAGTCAAAACGGCCACATGATTTCCAAACACTTAGAAAGAAAATCAAACTAGAATCAAAATATCCTGTAAAACACAGCTGATGAAAACTGTCTGCAGCATGAACAAAATTCTCAATTTTCAGAAATAACTACTGCTTTCTAAAACTTTTGAGAATTGGATAAATTGCCTCTAGTGCCTCCTCTAGGTCTTGTCGGTTTTTAGCACCTGAAAATACAAGATAATCATATATTATGAGTTGTGTGTTCAAATGAAAAGGCACTTAATAATGGTGTTAAGAGAAAATCTTCCCTTATCACACCAAAAGGTGTAAATAAAGAAGTAAGCTCAGAAAGCTTTGAAAAAAATTGAAATTATTAAGTATTACTGCAAAAGCTCCTATATGTTAGTATAGATTTCAGCACATGTTTCCTGTTAGCACTTACCTGTGAAGACTATTTTCCCATTCACAAATATCAGCAACACTACACGTGGTTTCACCATGCGGTAGATGAGTCCTGGGAAAAGTTCTGGCTCATAACTAGAAATTTTAAAAAAGAAGAAAAAACAACATTTAAAAAAGACATTTTCAATAGATATACTCTAGCTCCTATCATTATCCTAATACAATTAGAAATCAACAGTTTGGAAAATATGCTCTACATTTACAGTTCTCAGTGACTGAAATGAAGGAATTGATTACATTACATACCAACTGAACTGATTGTGCACTTGATTAAGGTTTTCTAGGCGAATTGGAAATCTGAGATCACAGGTAGCAACAATATTTTGGACTTTGAAATCTAGATATTTGACCTAAAGAGAGACAAGAGTGAGAATTAAAACATAATATGATGACATAATTGTGATATACGAACGTACAAGTGTTACTATTGACACAACTTACAGGGAAACCTAATTTCTGTACAATACGGGCAAATTTTCTGGTAGCTAATCCAGAAGCCTGCTCATTCCTTGCACCAGTACATACAACCTTACCAGATTGAAATATCAAAGCAGTTGTACGAGGTTCTAAAATTCTCATTACAACCCCTGAAAAACGTTGTGGGTTGTATTCTGAATTTCTTGTTCTAAAATTAATTTTTTTCAAATCTAGCTCACAGCCCAAACTCACAGTTGAGACAACATTCCTAAAATAAAAATTAAATTGTTTAAAAATAATATATTTTTGAAGAGAACCTTTAAGTTGCATTCTGCCAGACATAATGGCAATTTTATCAGATACTGCAATACATACTGTAATGTTAATGTAAGTCCAGATTCCAAGCTTGATGGATTAACAGGTTGAATAGAGGAATGAGGAATGACCATTAAGCTTGCTGACGGAGTGGCCCATGGTTTGGATTTTTTAGAGGAGTTCACAGGAGGAGGAGAAGAAAATCCAGAGTCACATGTTGACAGAGTGGAAGTCGAGGCCTTAACCTGAAACCGTAAATATAAAATTTAGCAAAAAGAAATGACACTTACACATAGAATAAAAATTCTTGGCGTAAACATACATCAGGCAAATATTCACTTTTCATAACGTTGTTCTTGGGATCCTCTGTCATTCTTAAAATGCAGTCTGAAACAGACAGTGAGTTAATTGTAGGAAGAGCTTAGAACAAACTTGGGTGAAGACCAGAAAACATTAGACCAATAATTCAAGAAAACATTTCAAAATATCGGTAGATAATTTCAACAATAACAATGAATTGACACCTGTCTGAAGTGCTCAAACTGGAATGGCCAAACTGTCCTACTTATACTTCTCATCCAGGAATTATCGTCATATTCAATCTTTAAAGCGCAAGGGGTTTGGTTCAAACCAATGAAGACTAGGATGTCATATTGACAATGCCAAACAGTTGCAGCAGACAAGTAATAACAATAGAGGTTATTGAGACAATTTACTTACCACATTTACTCTCATAAAAATGAGTGATATGATTGGACAAGCAACGACGCTTGTGCGTGTCCGTCTTCTACTCATTAATTCAATAGAGTGAAACATGAATCAACAAAGTAAGAATACAATACAAATCATTTCAGGATTTCAGTTTCCGATTGGAAATTTAGATTTAGAAGAGAGAAACTTGACACGCGACGCAATCTCGATCTATCGATTCGAGAGCCGGTGTAAAAGCGAAATCTGGCAACCGTGCATATGGAATGCCGAGCAACCAACCTACAACAATAACACATGAGACCTCTATTCCAACAAAATAAATGGAAGTGATGTTTTCGTTAAAGAATTGTTTTTTTAAATTCGCATTTTTATTAATCCTGGTATAAAACTTGTTTCTTTGAGTGTTTCAGAAGAGAAAAAAAATTGACATTGTTCTAGTCGTGGCCACCCTGTCCGGTTCCGGTGGCTTATATCCTTCGCACGGCTCCTCACTCGATCATTCCATCCGAGGACTCCGGTGTGAGCGGACGTGGCGTGTGGCGTCCCTCAGCCCCTCTTGCTTTACACATTGCAAGTAAGTTTTTAGTTAGGGTTTGCTCTTCCAGCTATTGCTTTTCGCTTTTCGCGTTGTTTCTTTGTTATTTGGGCAGACTGCTGCTCTCGCTTTATCGTGGCCATTATGGTGAGCACTGCTCACTAAGTTGTTCAATGTACGCCCGTAGAGCAACCACGTGTTCGCTTGTGTGCGATTCTCTCTTCTTAACTCTGACCTTTTATTCTGGGTTTAATGATGATTTCCTCTAAAACTTATGGTCTTCTTTTCCCAACTGAGTTGTCTTGATGAGAATTAGAATCTGATGAACCCATGGTCTAAAGATGTGTAGCGGCATGGTATGCCAACCAGTATATGTTCAGTGTTATTAATGGCTTTTCGTTCTTTCCAGGCTTTTACACCATGGCGCTGTTTTAGACCGGGAATCTCTTCTCCGCGTTACCATGTGGTGCAAGGAAACAATTTTGACATGGTGAGTGTTTAGTTTCTTGGTTAAGTGTTCCCTCTATTATTCCTGCCAACTATGATGAGGGACTTTATTTCTTCTGCGGTTTCCACTGGAAAGCGTTGCTTAGTGACAGTTTGAAGCGTCTGAGTTGGCTTTTTGCTTTTTCATTTGTCTTTGGTTCGATGCTTTGGTCACTGGTTTTCCTATGATGAAGGACTTATTTTCTTCTGCGGTTTCCACTGGAAATTATTTTAATGACAGTCTGAAGCGTCTGAGGAATGTGCCAGTGAACCATGTGCTGTGTTGTTTCATGATGATTAGTATTTGCTATCTGACAGCCATGCTGATAGCCTTACTACCACCAAGATCATTAGTCTGATGAGCAACACATGTACAACTGATTCTTTGAATTCTTAGTCCTCCATTCCTCCCTAATGCAGTACTTTATGTATGTTACAGGTTACCTGAAGTTTCCGACATGTCCATCCTCTGAGGTTAGTGTTTCTCAACAAGTTTGTAATTGCCATCGGTTGGCATTGTGTTTTTGAAATGTTTCAACTTTCGTAAAGTGATGAAGTTATTGGTCCGTGTTGTTGAACCTCATGAAAATAACCTTCCAATACTGATTCCTAAGTTGATACATAATCTGAAAGATCTAAATGATGACCTTTTTTATTATGCCTATGAATCGTGAGGCTTAATATTGAGCTTTTTAACTCTGAAAGATCAAATTGCAGTTGTTAATTGAGTGTCTGTGATGATAGATATAGATAGGGACATCTGACATATTTGATGCAGTACAATCTATCCTGAGCCACTTGTAAACACTTTAAGGGCTTCCTGTGATGTCAAATGAATTTCTTCACCTGAACTTAATGTAGAAATTTGACAATCTGAGATTGCCCTCTTCAGTTTTTTTTCTCTTGCTGCATTATGATGAATTTACATTAGAGCCAATCCAATGACCTTAAGTGATATCATACTAATAATTCTGAATATGCTGAATATCTTAGTGTCTATGATGAAAATTTTCACTGATTTATGAGTCCATGTGATTATTACTTTAACATGCACTACCAACTGAGACACGTTTCGAAATTCACAATGCTTTGCGATGATGGCTTTGTATTTGCTACTTCTGAATTGTTGTGATTATACCTACATACTGAGCAAAGCCGATGTTTCTAACTTTCTATTTTTCAGGATATTTTGATTAAATAAACATCTGGATTTTATCACTGTCTTATCCTTTCACTCATCCTGAACTACTTGATTAATATTAACTGGCACACGGTTTGCCAGATATCCATGCAATGCACAGCACACGTATCTCTGCAAATTCATGAAATTGATATTGAAATCGGAATCACTACTGAACAATCCACCCAAACACACTACATAATTTGGAAGTGGGAAAACATTCTGGACGACGTAAATTTATTTCAAATCTGATGTGACACCTAAACTTCATTCAGTCTCCAGATCCATCTTTGGAAATGCAGGGCAGTTGGTGCTGCAGGTGGTGCAGCTGCGTATGGCACATTGCCGATGCTCTCTGTGATAGCCTCTTCGCAAGGCTCCACATTCAATGATGTGCTTGCGAAAACTAGATGTTGATGCAGGCTACTCAACTTACAGCTCCTGTGTTTACAGTGAGCTACGAACTTTGTTTGTACTCTTTGAACGATGCTGGACATCAAATTCAGTGTCAGTATGGTATTTTAGATCCTCGCATATCTTTGTAGTATTTATTACAACACAATTATCGACTATAGAGCGGTTATTTGACGCCTGTCCCGCCTGTGTTTCGGCGTTTCAGTAACAATTTTGTTTTGAGAACTTTTCAATGATCTTTGCTTGCTTGTCAGCAACTGTCAATGCGTAATTCTGGTTTAAAGTTATTAAATTGTTCTTACACCAGCAGCTTCCCATGACATGACGTTCAAATAAACTCTCAGATATTAACATTAATACTAGTTGGTGTACAGGTTAAGCTGATGGTCTCTGGTCCCAATTTCTCCTTATCATTCAATTCTACTGTGAGATTTTCTGATCCTTCTTTCAACACATTTGCCATTGTTTTCTCCTCTGTATAGCTTTCGTTACCATGCAAATGCTACTCTTTCGAGTTGGCTGAGTGTCAACATGAATTTTCAAGGACACAGATCGTCAACTCTCCTGACACATTTCAGTACCTGACTTTGTCTTTTTTTTCTATTTGTTTAGGAAAATCATTTGATCCGTGAATCATGAACCCAACAATGGCAGATAATGAGGATAACAAGTCTTTTCTATGTGGCGGTAGTGGGGTATGACAATGCATTATTCAGAATGCTTTTATTATTATTGCAATTACCGAAGATAAACACTTCTATTTATTATTACAGGGATTTTCAAGGAAAGATCAGTCTAGCAGCTACAAAAATTTGGACATGATTTTAAGCTTTGGTTCAAAATCAGACTCATTTCTCTGTAAGCTATATTCTTATCATTTTGTTAATTTGTAACTGTTATGTGTAGCCCACTCAATATATCACTTATATTTATACAGCTGATCAAACTCTAACACCTCAGACAAGACTTCTCCAGAAATGTGAAGAAGTGGGTCTCTTTCAAGATTTGCAAAATATGAATCCATTTGAAGAGACTTTTCGCAAAGCAGCAGAAGATATTCGCTCTGGGACAGATCCTTTAGAAGTATGCTATTAGTCACTCCTAAAATATTCAAAGCTGAAAAACCAAATGGATAAGGCTCACGACTCTTCTCTTTTTCATTGTCTAGATGTCAAGCTTGTCAGTCCCCAACACTGCGGATGATTCTCTTCACACACCTCATGTGATATTTCCTCTAGCAAATGAATGCATTAAAAGAAAGGGGGGTATTTCTCCCAGAGAGGATATCTCAATCCCTTTAATGCAGAGTGATGGTAAAGGTAGCAATACCCTGAGATGCCCTAAATATATCAGGTATCTCAATGTCTATATGAATCTGATGTTCCAATTTTACTTTCCAGAGCCTTTATGCATACCTATAGACAGTGTGAGTGCTGAAAAACCCATTCTCCAGCAGGAAGCAGACACATCAGAGGAGGCTCAAATGTAAGAATTAATCCTTTGCTGAATCCCTCGCTAATTTATTTTTGTTTTAATGTTTTAACCTCCTATTTATTTAAAAATAATTGTAAATTTAGATCAGATGCACATGTTTCTGGTTGTGAAGATGAATCAGAGCATGGTACTATACAATTTCTGTTGAGAATGCCAAATGGCAAAATGGTCCAATTATCATCACTTCCTGTTGAACAAATGGACACTGCTAATCAAAGCTCAAAAGAAAAAGACATTCCAATAATTAAGGTATGCCTATATCTACGCTTTATTTTCTATCTTTACTTAAGAAAATGACCACGTGATCACAATGAAATTCTCTTGTACATCATCTATAGGTTGATTCATCATTTCTTAAAACAGTTGACAATAGGACTCAATCAAGTTTCAGTAAAGTCTGCTCAGCTTCCAGCAGTCCTGCAAGTAGCAGCACGAACAATAGAATTGAAACTAATGCAATGGAAAATGTGGAACCAAGCAGCTCTGCTAAGTTGAAGTCAAATCTTAGGTCACCAAAAGAGGAACACCTCTCAAAAATGTCTTTGGCTAAACTGGCAAGTTTCTTTCTTTTGTCTTTTTTCTGTCCATCTGTTTATTAATTTCCCCATTTCATGCTTTGATATTTTGTTGTTCAGAAGTTAAAACAGGCATTAATGAATAATAGCTGCCCTGCAGCAAATTTATCATCTTCAGGCATTTCGTCTACCATTACCTCCCAAATTGTGCCAAGCTTCATGGAGAATCAAGTATGAAATAAGAAATAAGTAGTATGTGTAACTAACATGGCATTAACTTTAATAATATCATTTGCATTACATTTTCAGACAATTGAGTCAAGGAGATCTTCTAGCCCATCAGAAGAAAGTGGAATGTCCAATGAGCAAGGGCGTGATTTATCTTCTGTGGAAGAAAAAAGGAAAAGAAATAGGTATGATAATTATAAAGTTTGATACTGAACATAACCAGGCATTTTCATCCATATGATTCACAAAATAACCTAATGCTGTCCATTACTTTTACTCTGTTGTAGGGCAGCTGCAATGCGCTGTCGGGAAAAGCGCAAGACCTGGGTGAAGGAACTGGAGCGCAGAGCGAATGATATGCTTAGAACAAATGCCCAGCTACAACATGAAGTTTCAATGCTTCGAGACGAGGTGGCTCAGCTGAAAACTTTGTTGCTTGCTCATCGTGATTGTCCTGTCACTCAAGCTCTTGTGCAGGGAAAAGCTACTTTACCAATAGGTACATTCTGTTCCCTTTTATTTGGTACCCTGTTACTTAGTGGCTTTTCTGTCATTTCTAATAAGAATATCTTAATTTTTATTACAGGTTCTACTGTTTTGAATTCTGCAACAGATTCACCAATAGGTAGCATAAAACGATCCTTAAACAAAGACCTGAAATCCCCACCTTCCACGATTGTATATCAAACATCAAGTCATGCAAATCCAGTGAAACCTGTTATTCTCCTTAATGATCCACCCGTGAAAAGAAAACGCCTGAACTCATCAAATGTTAATGCTAGCACAGCTGGATCATCTGCAACAGCTGTATCTGTTGTGACATCTACATCATCATCAGTACATACTTTGGTTCTTCCCTCGAGTAACTCAACTGTATTGAATCCTAGTTTTGTCAATGTCATACCAAGTGTCTTGGTTGCTAATCCGACAGCCACAGCAGGTTCAGTTCGTGGTCCTACACAGGTTATTTATTCTCAAATACTGCCACGCTTACCTACTCTCACTCATAAACCAGCCATCAGTAATATGACCCCAAAACAGGCTTACATTCTTCCCAAAGCAAAAACTGGACCTGTTGCAGGAAAAACTACTTCCTTAAAATATGCTAAATCGGATGGTAAGGTGTGTATCACACAACTTTTATCAACAAATGTAATTAAAGTTAATCCAAATGTTGTTGAACGTGATACTAATGATAGTGACATTGAGATCCTTGATGACAAATAAGATGGATCTTAGCTCAAAAGAATAAGGCTGAAATAAGTAAAGTTTAGAGCATGTGACGTTATTGTAAATTTGTTTTTCTTTTTCAAATTTTAGTCTTGTTACATTTTACTTTCAATAATTTTTATAAAAATAGAATTATTTTTCAAATTCTATTCTGTTTTGATTTTACAAAGAATTTTAACGCCTTTAGATTTTATGTGGTTGCTTTATTGTTAGCTAAAAGTTTGAAGTATGGCTTTTCAATCAACTTTTGAAGAAGAGGCGATATACAAATGTTTGAGCTGTACATAAATTTCTTCGATGTCAGTTACCGACAAATTGTCTAAATTCTTTTCACCAATCAACAGACAGTGAATGTGCCAAAATGTTTAAATCTGTATAGCAGACACAGACAAAAAATTATCTTTTGATCTGAGATGTTTCAGTAATTTACCATTATTTTGTCTCCCCATTGCTTAGTTGTTGCTTTGTTATTTTGCCACAATAGATTTGAATTCAAAATAATTTAAATAGATCGACATAATCCACTTTGTTACATATTTTATAAGATTTTTGGTCAAGATTGTACCTGTGTTTTGTTGTTGTGATATGGGACTATTATGTCTCAATGAATTAGAGACAAGTTACATTAAATTTAAGAGTACTGTGTACTCATGACAATATGAAGGTTGGGATATAGGAGTATCACCAAAGTAATTCTTAAAAGCACCGTTGCTGTGGATGTGGTCTTTGTATGTAATGTCAATGATCTTTAATTCCATCCCAGAGAAACCAGATCAGTGTGACATGGTTGTTTATGAGGATAAAAAATGCTCATCAAGTGTCCTCCATTGCCTTTTATTCCAAGATTCCTTATCTTGTTGATTGTGTTATTTATGTAATTACTTAAATTCCGTCAAACGAGTAACACCTAACTGCTTCAGTTGTGTGGTAGTTTAAATGTGCTTATAAAATCAGTGATAGGTATACCCATGGCAGGGTTTACCCAAATTATGTTGTCGTTATCTTGCAGGGAGAATTACTCGTATATTTACAAGTTGACATAAAGTAGAAGAAAAAAACATGGTAAAGTTGTCTTTTACTTATTCGTATTACTGGCCCTAATCTACAACGAACTGCTGACATCAAATTGTTAACGTAAGGTTTATAAACCTAAAACCTTCAACAACTACACTAATGCATCAAAGTCATTAAAAATGAACCCTTTCCTCCATTCAAACAATGCGCGGCGTACCTTGCATTCCATCGAAACTTTATGACGTAGCTGCATAGAGTGCGCCACACAAATCGTCGCCATCTTGGAAAATAAAAAAGTGCGCATCTAGAGGCCTACGTTATGTCCGGGTTTGCCAAACTTGTTTTCCATTGATGTATGATGATTTTACGTCCATGCACCTGTTGATTCACTTTGTGCTGCCCGCTAGTTGATTAAGATTCTGGAAGTCATGTTGACATGTCAGTTCAGAGAGGTGGCATCGAGGTTTTCGTAGAAAAACGGCCAACTTTTCCAGAAGAGGAGCGTTTGACAAGTAGCCTTCACATGGCCCGTGCTACTTTTACTACAGTTGTGACCCACTTAATTGTTTTACGGCTTAATGTACCAACACCGCGTGCATTATTTGCCTGAACGTGCTGATGTTATGTTATTGAGAGGACAGTGTCACCTGCCTATCCTGTCTATTGGGTGATGCCAGGCTGTATCCCAAAAGGATAACATGTCCAATAAGAAACCAGCCTACATCAACAAAGCCCCTCCACCCCCTGTTGATGTGGTGGGCGCACCAGCACCAGCACCTCCCCGTTATCAACCACCACCTCAAGTTACTGGACCCAGCACAGGCCCTGGCCATGGACCTGGCATCTTGAAACATTATCAACCTCAGCCACCACCACCAGCTCAACCATCACCGCTTCCACAGCCACCTCCTCCGCTTTCAAAGGATGCTGTCAAGACTAATCATATTGAAGGTCCTCCTAAGCAAACCCTTATGAGGGCACCTTCATACCCTCACCCTCCTCAATATCCTGCACCACCTGCTGTGTCTGGAAGAAGACCAAACCCAATTGTTGGTTTGCCTGCACCTCAACGTCCAAATGACGAAGAACTGCTGCGGCTTGGTCCTGTTGAAATGCTTAAATTTGTTCGCAAATCAGAGGGTGAGGCTGCTCGTGCAGCTGCGGAACAGGGCCAAGCTGCGCGTGAAGCTGCCAGAGTTGCTGCTGAGCAGGGTCAAGCAGCAAGAGATGCTGGACGACATATGCAAGGTATGAATCATTATTGTGTTATTTTCTATTGGATGTAGAAGCTTCAACTTATTGCTTCGCACAATACTAAATTACGCTACATTTCATTTCTTAACTCACGTTAGCTGAATTTAATTTTTGCAGGCCTAGCCACAGAAGTTCGAGCTCTGAAAGAAGCAAACCAACGACTGAGTGATGACAACCAGGAACTAAGAGATCTTTGCTGTTTCCTTGATGATGATCGTCAAAAGGGAAGAAAACTTGCTAGGGAATGGCAAAGATTTGGGCGATATACAGCAAGTGTTATGAGACAAGAAGTGTCAGCTTATCAAAATAAGCTCAGAGAATTAGACACTAAACAACATGAACTTATTAAAGATAATTTGGAGTTGAAGGTAGCTTTTACCAATATTCTAAGGAATAAGTGATTTTTCAATTATTTTTCTTTTTTTACTTTGAAGCATAATTAAGATTGTAACACATATTTTCTAGGAACTTTGCCTGTACCTTGATGAAGAACGTAACCAAAATCAAGTCTGTCCACACTGTGGTACTGGCTTGAGGCCATCTCAAGCTCAACGTGATGATGGTGATGGTAGCAGTTCTAGCACAAATGCTGATGAGCCAGCCATACCGTCACAATTTGTCACTCCTAACCCGGGTCAACCATTTGGAACAACATCTGGAGGTTCATCTGCAAATAATGTTTCATATACTGGGCCAAGCACTCCTACCTCCCATGGTATGAATGTAAGAAGATCAGAAAGCAGAGAAAGGTTGCTTGAAGAAAGCATTCAGCGTCAGAGGACAGTTTTTAATGGTTAGTATTATTCTGATATATTTGATTTAATTTCTGTTACTGGTGATCATATCTATGCACTTAAAAGAAGTCTATTTCTAAGTTATGCTTGTAATCTATTTTTTCTAGATCAAATGATGCAGTATGTTCGTAGCCTTGAACAAAGGGTCAAAACTTTAGAAGAAGAAAAACGAGTATTGTGTCAGAAACTTTGCGGTGCTGGTATCAATCCAGAACAAGAACGTCCACCTGGCTGGGATTTAGTTGACCCTGTAAGTGTAGCCCAAATATAGTTCAAATAGTTAAATATTGTTCATAACATGTTAAGTGGTTTAATCACACTGCCTGGGAGATAGAAAAGTTCTACTTCTCAGAGAAGTGAAGGAAAAGTCTCATAAATTAAATGCTTGCATCTTATAGCAAGTTTGCCTTGTGTAAATTTTGCAATTTTAAGGATTGTTGTGGTGGAAAACTAAAGGGTTGAAAAAGAGCGCTTAAAAGGCAGTGGAATGTCAAAGATAATTTAAGGAAATCTATAACACAATTTGCCTAACTGTCTTTCTATATCCCAATGTATCTAAAATTCTATTCCCTCAATATCTTTCAGAGCTCCCGACCTGAGGCTGTTGTTCAGGCTCTGCAAGTTTTAGAAGTTCGGGAGCAAGTAGAGCGCGCTGCTCCTCCGGGCACTCCTACCATCAGCAGCTCTGTGTCATCTGTGTCTAATGGAGTAGAAGGTCCCATTCTTGATATGGATGATGGAGAAAAAGCCCTTGTAAGAGAAATGTGCAATGTAAGTGGATTTTAGGTCAATGAATCTGAGTACCTTGTTTCACAGTATGGATTGGTACAACTGAAAAGTAATTTGCAGGTGGTGTGGCGAAAATTGGAGGAAGGACCTGCAGTAAGAAGATAATTGGCCCTCTATTTTTTTTGGGTGAGAACAAATATTAAGTATTGCCCCGAACAAGGAAGATATGTAGCGCCATATCATGACCATTAATAAGTTTTGTACAGAAGAATACAAATTTAGAATGTATCATTACATTGGACTTTTGTTTGTTTATTTTGGTTGTTGTTAAATGTGCCTCGACAGTACTTTGCTACTGTTTTTTATTATACTTAGTTTAATATGTTACTGTGACTTTCTCTGTAGTGGTGAATGAAGTAGGCCAAAGATAACACTTGCATCCTTTTCTCAAATTTTCTTTTCTTTTATTTTTTTTTTTTATTTAAAAGATGATCCCAGATCAGTAAGTAAATTAAACTTTTAACAGATATTTTGAAGAGAAATAACCCAATTCTGGATATTTTACACTGTTGTTCTTTTGCATATTATCTTTTGTCTTCTTTTGCTCTTGCATGTCCTATTATGGTGTACAAATTGGTTTGTACATAAGTCAACTTTGATAATAATGTCTTTGTTCTGATTCATTTTTCACTATTGAAGGAGTTGTTTATGTACAAATGGTGGAAGTGTTGTGTAAGTGAGGTGAACTTCCAGATGTGAAGCTATAGAGCTTACATTTTGTCTTTGGTTAGGGGCAAAAATCAAGCTTTATGACTGGGATCTCACTTTTTTTTTGCGTGTCTGTGGCTGCATGCAATAAACATGTAAATGTGAAGGTAAATATGTGCTTCTGATTTGTAGTTATATATTTGTAAAGCAAAGGCAAAGTATTCTTGATACTATTTCCTTTTCATAAAAAATTAGTTGTTTTGTAAATTTTTGTATCTTATTTGTTGGCATATGTTGTATATTTTTTATATGCATTGTTGGCTATTTTATAGCCCACTCATATTAACAACTAAGTGATGTACTGCATATTGTATTCGCTTAGTGTGTTTGTTGTTTTATGTTATGGAATGTACCTTACATTTTGTTGTTCTTGAAATATTTATTCTTTGCTTGTAGTTAGTACAAGATGGTATTTATTCCCTTCTTCTTGCCATAGTTTAATTTTTTTTTTACTGAGGTACAGTATTTTTAATTTTTAAGAACGCTGTTTAAGACAAAATGTTTTTACTCTCTTATTGGAGAGGATGTGAATTGTTTATGTAGTGTTCTTGCCAACAAATTCTTTCTTCTAGATATTTACTAAACAGTATGAATCATCTTAGTTTTACCTTTTTTGTTGTGTCAGGTTGAAATTCATTTTCATAGCAATTAATCCAAACAACTCAAATTTTTCCTGCAGATAAGTGTTTAGTGTGTCAAGTTTTGGACAACTTCTGAACTTGTGCGCTAAAGAACCACAGGTTCACCTTTTTTCCTCCATACTTGAATTTAAATGTTCTGTTGTGATACATTTGTGCCAATACTCATGAATTACCACCGACTTTCTTACCATCTTACTTTATTGCAACAAGCACTGTATGTATTTTTTGTGGCAACTGGAGGACCCTGAACTTTGCTAGCCACCTCAAAGTAAACATTTATTCTAGTTTTTATTATTTAACAGGATTTTTTTCTGTTCCATGCAATCTTTAAGGTTTTGCATCAGAGTGAAATGTCATATGATCAACTCACTTATACATGGCATAGAAGTACAGTACAAATATTCTTAGAGCGAGGAGAAATATTCTCTATATCCTAATTTTATGACAAGCATTGAAGACCCAATAGTAGTTTTTGGCAAGTTCTGGCAGACTATTTTCACACTGAATTGTTGTTCCAGGTAAAACAAATTCTTGATCATTAAAAAAAGTTAAAAAATAATAATTGTTTCTTGATGTTGATAGTAGCTCTGACTCTTTCTATCCCTCATACCGGGTCATGAAAGAAAGAAACAAAGCTACTATACATTAAGACTTGCATTTTTACCAGGTTGTTGTTTCACGTAGAGTTAATAGTTAATTGGTAAACTGTGCATCACATCATCTATTGAAACTTTTGCAGGGTATGAATGTCATCCTATTGTTTATTTTCTTCTCAAAATACCGATCAATGTATTTTATAATGTAAGATAATGCAAATGCCTTGTGTCTTGACCAAACAAGCTATTTTTTCTTAAGTTATCAAATGTTTATCATTTATGGAACCTTTTCATTACTTGAAGTGAATAACGTGTTCGGATATGTTGAGTGGAGGTAGATAGGGCTCCCCAGTGGGTCTGCAAGTCTGCTAACACAGATGTGGCAGGACAAAACCAAGAATGCTTTTTTTTGTGGAAAAGGGGGGGGGGGGATAAGTCGAAAGCAGGAGGAGGCTGCTAATTCGGCGGCGACACCGAAGGACGATTTTATCAAGGGACCCTCTACCCACGTCCCAATCGGCCCCGGACACGTTGTGCTGGGCTGCTATCGAACCAACGCGTTGCTCTCTTCTCTGTCGCACGCATTGTCATCGAAGGGAAACCGACAAGGACAGCCAGGAGTGCGGGGACAGAGATGTCCAGCAAGCCCTTTAATAATCGGACGAAACAATACGGAAAACGTCTCGCCGACCCCCCCCCCCCCCCCCCCCCCCCCCCAATCCTCCGGGCCTCTTCAGGTGGAACAGAAGAACACTCGAATTGTTTTATTCGATCCCAACCGACCCCCACAGCGAAGGGAGACTGATCTCCCCCAAAGATAACGGAGGGTGGGACATGTCTCAACTTTGCAACGCAAGTCCTCAGCAGAGCAGTGCCACGCTCAGCAAACGTGCATATGTATGCATTATTTCCTGAACACTTATATTCAGTGAATAGTGTGCACCGTGTGGCTGATTCACCCCGCGCAGTTCTCTAGTTGCTGTACCGCATTCCCAAGTGCGGGAGGGTTGCCTACTATCACGGCTTGTGGCGCCATGGCAGGGCTATAGATGAACGATGATAGGCCAGACGCGGATTAAGGGGTGATGACTCTAGAGTAGAGAGCCGCCTGAAAGAAGGTAGGCAATTTACGCCACAAAAACCCTGAATGTAGGCAACCCACAGTGCCCCCCCCCCCCTTGTCCGTCGGGGGAGTCCCTTAATCCGCGCCTGTGATAGGAAGACCCGCCCGCACTTCTCCAAGAGGTAAAGTTTCACTAAACCACTGGAAATGAAGGAGTCACGAGCATCGCTCTTGGAGAAGCGACGCATTGCTCCAAGTACATAGTACGGAAATGTGCATTAAAAGGAGCGGTCTTGCGCACCTGTAGCGAGTGCAGCACGGTGTAGCACAGGCCGATTAAGCTTCTGGTATTCTTGTGCGACGACGACGGTGGCGGCGGTCGCCCGCTCGCTGCTGCTACAGTGGCAAAATACCTTCTGGTAGACAGTCTAGGGAGCTGCCCGAATTTCCTAATTTCGTTTGGGAAACTCCACAACCGCAACCTTTCCCGGCCCCCTTGATCTTGATTCGAGTCCTGATCATGATCGGATCAAACCCGGCCCACACCGCCGCCAGCCAGTGAATGGAGCCGCCTCGGGCGGCGCTGGCGCAGCGCGCAGCGCGTGGTCGAGGAAAGGGAGGCCCATTGGATTTGGATTGAGCGGTAATAATCCAACAACAAACACGGCCCACGCGTCATGCTGAGCATGGAGAGGAGCGGAGGAGCCCCCCGCCCCCACGTCGCGCCGCGGGGCCCCCACCACAGTATGACTATGCGATGAAAAAGTGTATCAGTCGTGTGGGTGTGTGTTTGCGTGTGTGTGGCACATGCCGTCGTGGATGGTGGGATGCCGTGCCGCCGTTTGCCGTTGGATCCATTTGCTTTTGTTGTTCGTCCCTGCTAGGATACTCCAGGTGAGGAGTGAGTGAGTGGCCCACACAAATATTGGCCATTTTACCGGGGCGGATGGGTGGTCTACCCTCACGGCGGCGAGGTGGCTGGTCTACACAGCGCGCTTACGTCCCGTACGTCCCGTACGTCCCGTACGTGCAGTACGCACCGTACT